AGCCCGTAAACCCAAAAATCCCGGAGGGTGGGGGAGGGGGGTAAAAAATTTAGGGTATTTCCTGATCCTTGGATACACAGGGGGTTTGAGAACCCTTTTTTTTAAAAAAAAAAAAAAAAAAAAAAAAAGGATGGATAAACCAAGTGTGGAGGCCCAGCAACGCTTGGATGACTGAGACTGAAGGATCATGAGTTTGAAGCCAGACTGGGCTACCTAGAGAGATCCTGTTCCCAAAAGAAACAAATTAGACATTGGTGAGGAGCAAGGCATGATGCACAGTACTCAGGAGGCAGAGGTAGGAGGACTAAGAGTTCAAGGCCAGCCTGGGCTACATAGTGGGACTAGGGGACAAATAAAAAAGAGTTGATGGGAATATAGATCAATAAATTGGAACTTTCTTATACTGCTGACTGGAATAAAAAATGGTACAACTACTTTGGAAAAGTTTGGCAATTCTTTCAAAAAGCTAAACGTAGAATTCCAATAGCATTCAGCAATTCTACTCCTAGGTATATACTCAAGAGAGTATATACACATATTGCATAAAAACTTATCCATAAATGTTCATAGCAGCAATCTACACAAGAGCCAAAAATGAAAACCCAAAACTCCATCAATGAATAAGCTGAATGTGGCATATTCAACAATGGAATATTATTCAGCAATAAAAAGGAATTAACCAATACATGCTCTAACATGGATGAACCTGGAAAACATTATAGCAAGTAAAAGAAGTCAGATACAAAAGGCCATACTTTATATTTTTCCATTTATATGAAATGTCCAAAATAGACAAATTAGTGCTTAGCAGGAAGATATGGGTCATAGTTGTTTATGGGTATTTTTTGAGGAAAAAAAACTGGAATTAGCAATGACTTGCATAATTTTGTGAATGTGTTAGATACCACTAGATTGTACATTTAAAAAATATTTTTATTATTATTATTATTTTTATTTTATGCGTACGAGTGTATTGCTTGCATGTATGTGAGTGCACCCATGTCATGCAATGCCGTGGTCAGAAGAGAGCTTCAGATTCCCCTGTAACTGGAGTTAAGGACAGTTCGTAGCCAACATGTGGGTGCTGGGAATCGAACCCGGGTCCTCTGCAAGAGTGGTCAGTGCTCTTGACCACTGAGCCATCTCTCCAGCCCCATAGATTGTATATTTTTAAGGGTTACTTTTTATTATGAATTATAGCTCAGTGAATTATGTCTCAGTTAAATGGAGGAGATGGCTCATACATCGGGGTTCCTGGCATTTAAACAGATTACAGAAGTGTTGGTTTCTACTCTTGGGAACCATCAAACTAATGTGCTTCTAATGATCTAATAAGTTCCTGTATTCTCATGCTGCATTTATTGCCCCCACCCCCGTCAAAAAAAAGTAGATGTCAGAGCTAGGATCCTAACCCAAGCAAACAGGATTCTAATGTTCTTACCAAGTAACTACTCCTGGAACAGATACCAAAACAAGACACATACCCCTTAAAAATGTACAGGAAGAAGAAGCCAAAGAGACCAGACACTTCTAGAAAATTCCCAGATGTAAAAAGTGAGGGAGTTCAAGAACCAGCTCAGGAAAGTCTCATAAAGTCAGAGCAGAGGGTGGATTATGACATCATGCCATGACCTCATGTCAGAGGTCACAGTACTCAGATAAAGGAAGAGAGCATTTTGAAGCAGAGTCAATAATTTGGTGAAAGTTAAAAATAATTAAAAGGTCTGGAGAGATGGCTCAGAGGTTAAGAGCATGTAGTGCTCTTGCAGAGAATCTGAGTTCAGTTCTCAGTACCCACATTAGATGACTCACAATGGCCTGTAACTCAAACTCCAGGGGTCTCAGCACCCTCTGCTAGCATCCATGGGCACTGCAATCACTGCACATACCCACACACAGGCATACACATATACACATAATTAAAAATAATAAAATAGCTAGATGTGGCGGCACACACCTTTAATCCCAGCACTTGGGAGTCAGAGGCTAGCACATCTCTGTGAAATGGAAACCAGCCTGGTCTCCATGGCAAATTCCAGTCCAGCTGGGGCCACTGGA